TTTGTGTTAGTGAGCCATCAATGTTCCAAAGAAAGTTATTCTCTGTCACAGATGCTTCCTATAACGCATAGGCGAATTGTAGAAACAATTAATGAGAACTCGCTATTGATCCGACATTTTTCCTTAACACATCAATCGTTTACCTTCGTTAATTGTACAAAAGTTTTTGCTGAGGACTGAATTGTCAAAGATACGACAAGTAAATATAACTCGAGGCGCACGTGTATTTGTTACCTCGTTTCATTCGCTCTTTATTAAACAATCATATTTTCAAATGCAATCAATGAAAAATATCTTATACGTAACTCAGTAAATCCTGGAAATATCACAGTGCCGGTCATTGGTGATAGTTGCGACATTCAAGACCGATTGTTCCAACCTCTTGGTAAGCTGATTAACAGTTAAATCATATATCTCTGTCCAAGCCGAAGGAGAAACAAAGACAGACATATGAGTTAATTATTAGTTAGCTTACCAAGAGGTGGGAAAATCGGCCCTCAACGCGCTAACGTTGCGGCACTTTGCGATCGCGAGCCACGGATGCAAAACGAGGTAACGTCAGAAAGAAGACGATCTCGGCCTGGCTCGCGACGACGGGCCATGATCGGTCCGGGAATTAGAACGCCGCAATTGCGCGCGAAGGGTAGAGGATCGATTTAATAACTGCGGAACCGTGACTGTTGAGGAATCGAGCGAGGAGAAGCGACTTCGGTCGCCGGCGCGCAGCCCCGGGCGGCCGTCAGGAACGCGTTGTCTCCCGAATAGGGCTAATCACGCATGGACAGAAGGACTCTGTGACTGTTGCCGTGTCGCAGTCGCAGCCGGGGCCCCCCTAATTGGATCGTATAATGAGCGAATGACGTGCCGATCTCTGGCCAATACCGGACGTGCTTAGACCAAAATCTGACACGGCACCGACAAATCAGGCCAATCGCCAGGACGCCAGCGAGGACGAGCAGCCGACTCGGTCAGCTCGGTCGGCGTCGATGCAGAAATGAAACCGAAACAAAGTCGCGAATGCCCCGAAGGTAGTTCTCGTTAAGTCGCGAACGCGCCTCACGATCGGATTCGATTTGCGCGATTATCGAGTGCGACTTTTGGCGGTATTAACGATTCGACAGCGTGTTATCGTAGTATTTGCTGTTCTACGTGTTACGTACAAAAAAAAAATAAATGTAGTGAGATAAAAGTACCAATTTTCGGACACGCGTCTAATTTTGGGCATTCTTGTCCAGAATTCTTCTTTTGGTCTTTAAATACGAATATTCAAACTTTTAACGTAGGATATAAGTATATACATGTAGATATATTTTATGTTGTGAAAGTTTAAATGTTCGTATTTAAAGATTAGAAGTTTACAATCAAAATGTTCAAAATTAGGTACGTGTCTAGATATCGATATTCTTATTTTAATATGTATGTGAGAATATATTCTTCGCTTTTTATAGCTCGTTACGCGTCAGACTTCGAAATTGTCTCGAGTTTCTTACGATTATATATATATATATTTCTAGATTCAAAGATAATACAAAAGCTTTTGCTGATAAATATTTGCTGATAAAAGTGTCGCGGAATTCATTTGAAGGAAACATCGAAGAAGTCATTTATAATCTTACTGTGATTCAAATTTCACGAGTTTTCGTCTCGACGAGTTGTATTTGAGCACAATCCATCGTATCCGTCTGTTCATTCAGGATGTCGCGGAGAGTGAATTTTAAGAATGGACGTAGTAGAGAAGTGATATTTGACTTAAATTATCGAAGTGCTAATAGTTTTACAGCTGCGAGTCGTCGACAAGAAGAGGATGCAGCTGTTGCCATGTGAGCAATGTATTTCTTACAATGTAGAAGATGTAGTAAAAATTCGCACTTTTCCTGACAGAGATAACCGACGTTTCCACGATTCACACAAACGACTTCTTCAGTTTAAATCGAAGAACCGCTGTATTCGCGACGGTATAAAATTCTTATTGATCATGGAACTCTCTATGTTTCTCTCTCTCTTTCTGAAGATAATGCGCAAAGGATTAAAATTCTAAAGTGTCTCTCGTTTGAAACAGTCTCCCTTTTCCCAGAGTTGTGTTTATCGAATATGTAGGCGTAACAAGGACGATACGTTAAATGTAAGACATAACAGAGCGGCATCAGCGAATCAAGAATAAATCCTCGGCCGGAGGAGTGAGCGCTCGCATCTTCGCTCCAAGGAAGTGCGAGCGCTGGAGCGATTGGCATAATCTCTCAAATGTCTCGTTTCGCAACGATCGCGCGATGTCGTTACGGAAGAAACGAGAGGGTAGGCGGGCTACATAAAGGCCACAGAAGCGCCATGGAAGAGCGAGCCTTAAAGTTTAATATTTAACGAGGGTGCAGTCTCTCTCTCCCTCTCCCTTTTTCTCTCTCCTTTCGAGCCCTCTCTCCCTTCCCTTCCCGAGCCCGCGATCGGCTCGTGAAGAAAAAAGTATTACGTAATTCCTTTTGAAGCCGTATCCAGTGCGCCATTAAGAGCGACCGCGATCTCCTCGAACTTTGATGAACTTCAGAATATTCGCCTTAGCTCTGTGGCTCGTGTTACTGTCTCATTGTTAGCGACGCTTTTCCGAGGGAATTTTAACGCGACTTTGTTCACGATGTGTGTATTGATGGATAATTCTACACTCAGAGAAAAAGACATGACGATGACAACCATACAGGTTGATAGCTATACAAGTTTTATATATATAATTAATGTATACACATCAATAAATTATTTTGTAGTTATTGCAACAAAAGTTGTAGTTGCAGTTAACTATGAAATAGCTTATTAAATTATACAATTCTACGTGTCAAACTTGTATTGCTATCACCAGATTTTTCCCTGAGTGTAGGCAACTCCTAATAGGTCTATATTTTCATGAATAAGAAACCGAGTGAGGAAATTTTCTTTCTTTCTTATTCTCGCTTATATTCTCGCTTATATTCTCGAAGTATACGCCGGTTCTGTTGAATATACTGATATTGTTTGAGTGTCTAAAGTTCGTATTAATAGTTGTTTGAAACTTGTCTCACGTGAGATATTCAGATTCAAATTTAGAGTTGATCTGAACTTTTCAATTGAATTATATGATATACGTGACATTGTATTTGTGATTGTGATTCAGCTCTAGCTCAAATTCACATTTAAATGTGAATTCAAATCTACATGGAAAAAAAAGATTTACTAATATACGGACAACTAAAATTATTAACTGCAGGAGCAAATTTTCTTGCTTTCTTGCTATAATATATATGTTGCTATAATATATATATATATATATATATATATATATATATATATATGTATATATATATTAGCAAATCTTTTAGCTATCACAACTAAATAACTTTGCTATGAAAGCAAGAAAATTTTCTCCTGCAGTTAATAGTTTTATTTGTCCATATATTAGCAAATCTTTTTTTTCCGTATATGTATCACATCTGAGTAAGTTTCATGTAACTACTATTGGACTATCGATTTGTTTCCTGTTGAAACAAATAGACAAGAAATGCGATTCCAACTTGGAAGCCAAAACTAATAGTTTAACTAATATTTTTTAGGTAATGCAATTTGATTATCGTATCCATGGCCATGTACTGTGTGAAATTAATTTGTAGGTCATATACAGAGCTGAAAAGTAATTTTCCACAAACAACATTAAAATATATCGTAAAAACAGACATTACTTACAACCCAGACGATGATTCAAACCAGGGAAGTACTGATTTCTCCTTTAAAGTTCTCTTTTGAATATTGACGATTATTATTTAGAGCTCATAGAATCCTATCGAAGTGTGTTTGAGATAGTTACGAATTCAAAGGTGGTCTGTAGAAACGGAAAAGAATACATATGCGCGTGTTCGCACACATAATATATTTTCCTATTATTTAAACTTAGTACAGTTCATAAGAGCAAATTTATACTACTGTTATAAAACGCGTCGGTTAAAGAATAATTTAATTGTTTCAGTAAATACATGTCGAGGAATTAAAACGTTAAATTAATTTGTAAGTTATGTGCAGAGGTGGAACATTAAAATATATCGCGAAAACACACTACTTACAACCCAGTCGATGGTAAAGACACGAGAAGCCTACTGGTCTCCTTTGACTATTGACAATTGTCATTTGATGCTTATCGAATGCCATCCAAGTGCATTTGAGACAGTTACGACTACATTCCAAAAGCGTTCTGTACAAACGGAAAAGAATACACCATGAATACAAAAGTGCACTTTCGCACACGTAATAACGTACTTTCTGGTCATTTAAGTGCAGTTCATGAGAGCAAATTTATACTATTGTTATAAAATGCGTAGGTTAAAAGATAAATTAATAGTCGCTTCAGCAAATACGCGTCGAGCAGCCCTACGAGGTATCTAATTATGCAAAGCATAAACAGTCATTTGCAGCGCATTTTGCTACGTCAGTTTAAGGAAATTTCAATAACGAGGCCCTTGCAAAAAGGGCAAAATATGCAAAACCATTTACGACGATATAATAATCGTGACGTGCATCAGAAGCAATCGGGGCCGCGCGCGAGCCGAACAATAATTAACGAATCACGCTTTTTCCGTCCATTTTGCAAAAATCGCTTTTACAGGGATGTTAATCCGCGTGTAACGAACGCTGACAAACTGATCGTTTATCGCGAGAGAAAATATTCAAATATCGAGCGTCAAAGTGATGCAAATTGCTGCATTGTCCGCGCGCAAAAATTTCCCCTGGCGCGATCAAGCCGGACGCATTTCGCGTAAAACGCACGCGACGACGAGTGAACGCTCGCGTGAGCTCATGTAAACCGTAATAGATGGTATGTCGTTACCTCGTAATTTTTCTCAAGGAAACGCGTATCTCCCATCGTACGTTGCACGACGGAATAGGAAGGGCCAACCGAATTTCAGTTCGTTCTCGGGCGCACAGACGGCAGCACATCCAGAATTACCGACCGACCAGCCACCAGCTGCCATCTGTCGCCCCCTCCTCGAAGCTGTGCTTTTAGAAAGCAGCTCCTAACGATTCCGGTCATTCGCTCCGCGTAAATCTTCCGGAAATGTTTTCTCGCACAGGTAAGCCTGATTCCATAATTATTCTCGCGATAACTTGAAAGTATCGCGTGCATTGAGACGTAGTCGTTTTCGTGCCCGACCTATGAAATAAACGTTGTATGACTGTGTGTGTTGGTATGTTACTGACGTAACCTTAAAAGACGTAACTCGCACTGTATTCTCTCTCCCTCTCTCTCTTCCTCTTTCTCTCTCTTTTTCTCCCTCTTTTTCTCTGGCTCCTCTTTTCTTCCTACTTTTTTCCTTATTTACGTTGAGAATGTGATTCAAGTTCAATATATTCGTCAACTTCTTAATCGTTCGAGAATTATGTAATTCATAACGCGCGTATTGTGTAACGTTAACGTGCGAATCAATCGATCCTCTCACGTCGACCAAGATCAACGACGCGAGCGGAAGCTCAAACTGCCGCGTTTGAAAGGCTAATTGGAATGCGGAAGCAGCTAGTTCGCGCTTGAAACTAACGTTGCGCTGCAGAGGGTACTCGAAAAATTTAATTGAAACTATCAGCAGGATCGACCGTCCGAGGCTTCCGCGGCGGCGGCTCGTCGGGTCGCGGCCGATGCAGCAGGACTCGTCTATCGGGAGCTAGATTCGAGGCACGATGGCGCCGGTGTGTTGGGCATTGTGAAAATCCTCGAGTGGCCGCGCGGATACTCGAGGACTCGTGGGCGAGGATTAAGAGAAAGACTACCAGTTAGAGGCGATGACTGGCTGACTTTTTTGAGAGGTAAGAATTATCTTGTCGTACCTCGGGACGATCTCCGGGGTGGTCCCCGGCCCTTTCGCATCGGCAAGCTGCGATGCGCGGCCAGCATTAATGAACCGTTTTACTGACAAAAGAGAGGAACGCGCGAGAGAGGGAAGATATATTCGTCTTGATCGTCGATTGCACAATGGAGTGTAAACATAATCACGACGAGTTAATCGCGACTTACGCTGGACATGCGAGATTGCACGGGCGAGAAGGGCGTGTTCCCGGAGATGGATATCTCGAGAGTTGATTACAAAAAAAAAATATATAATTTTGGCACAATATAATTACAACACGCACAAATCTCAACGAAACTGAGCGACTTTCGAATAGTCGCGAGGAAAAAAGTATGTTTCTATGTGTTCTTCTACAAATGTGCTTCTAATGACATTTTGTACAATTTATACCTTATTAGATAGTTTGTACAAGAAAATAGAGAGAGAGAGAGAGAGGGGAGAGAAGGAGAAAGAATAACTTCGATATCTTTGTTGATACGAAAAGAAATTCGAGCAGGCATGCTTCATCTATGTATATCTTTGTGTTTCAGTCCCTCTACATATTTTTAATTTAATTATTATCGAGATAATTTAATTATTACAAAATATATATTACAAAACGTCGCGTCGAAGATGTCGTTTATTTTTTTTTATAAATATTTCGCGCCTCGACTGTGGGGCGTACTAATTTGCATGGCGATACAATCGGGTATCCATCGCGGCGAAAACGAGACGCGCGAGTCTTAATGGTCGAACATCCTTCGCAACAGTTATTCAACTCAAGGACGGACTAAGCTGAAAGAGATCCAGCTCGTCCGAAGGAAGGAACCTGTGGAAGGAGAAACGGCGGGCGTCCTTCCTTGGGCAGAGGATACTTAGGATTAATCAGGAATGCTGTAATTGAATTTAACGTCCGAATTGAGTATTTTCGCTTACAAAGAGCCCAAAGAGAGAGAAAGAGAGAGCAAGCGAGAGAGGGACGAAAGGAGAAAGAGAGAGAGAGGGAAGGGAGCGGGGGAGAGGTGAAGAAGAGGGAAAGGAAGAGCGAGCGAGCACGACAACGTGGATGGGCGACGGGAGGAGAGTCTATGTAATTGGAAAAGCTTGGGATTAACAATTTTGCAAGACTCGGCGAAAATGTTCTCGAAAAGAGGATTGGCAAGGCAACGAGATCCTTTCGACGGAGCCTCCGCGACTCTGCATTCGTCTCTCTCCTTCTCTCCCTTCCTTTCTGTCTTCTCTCTCACACACAGCCACACATACACTCTCTCTTTCTCTCTATGTTTGCATAAGTGTGTATCACGTGCAAAAGAGGCAAATGTAGTTTATCGATATTGGCGGCGAGTTTCTTCGTCGGAATGTGATTTGAGAAATTAATTTATGAGACTCTACGGGTCTCGCGTAAGTTGGCTAAAATGGCGATCGTGCAGAAATTTCTCATAAATGCGCGCGTAAATGCTCGCTTCTCGCGGGAGTTTGCAAATGCGAGTATCCGCGCGACGTACGGCGAGGGAAACGTTGAAATACTAGCAGTGAGTATTCCCGTAAACGAGTTTGGTTTTGACGTAACACTCGTGACTTTTACATTCCTTGCATTCCAATTTACCCCGGTTCAAAAAAGAAAAGAAAAATTAACTCTTCCGTGTAAAAATCTTTCACGATCTGTTTCTTTCTTGAAGATTCCTAGATTACTTTTAATCGCTTCAGAAATGTATACTCGCATAATGAACTTTGGATTTCCTAGCATCTGTGTTACATTTAGCATAAAGCAAAACGCATCGTAATAAAGAGAACGATGATGAAACGTTTTGATGAAACGAGACATGAAAATGCATTTGATTTCTCTCTCTCTCTCTCTCTCTCTCTCTCTCTCTCTCTCGAACACGAAGATTTTAGAGTGCGCGGTTGTTCTCGAGTCGAAGAAGGTCTTACGAGAATTCAGCGCAGTCCCCTCGCCCGTCGACGCGTAATAAATTTATCCCCTGGCCGCTACTTGTCTCAACAGATTACGGGACGCTCTAAATTCGGTGCATTGTTCAAATCTTGGCGAACGGGAAGGTGCGCGTATGCGCGATACAGATGAATAAATATCTTTCGCGAGAGAGACGCGGATTGTGCTCTTTTAAAGTTTAAACCTCCTACAGTGGAATCGCGGTCTTTTACTCGCTACTCGTTTTAGCAACAGCGATTCCCGTAGGATTCGTTGGAGATGTAATATGGGGAAATGAAGGCTTTCGAAAGAAAAAGTCGCGTATGTAATAGTTCAAATGAAAAATTTTATTTCGCGGCTTCGTTCAAGAAACGCGATCGTGTATACTTCTGGAAAAGAACGAGGAAGATTAAAGCGTTGTTACATAAACCGTGCTCATTCTTTGGACGAACACGAATGACGAGTCAATTAATAAACTCAACGGATCTCCATACAACTTGAAGTCGTGATGAAACGTGGAAACATATTTCATAACGTTAAAGGGAAGGGAATTTCTTTTTCGAAGGAAACTGTAATTTAATGTAAATAAAATGTTTCATCGGGAGATCAAGATACCTCGAGATTATTAATTGATTCGTTATTGGACATGTTTGCATAAAGAACGATATCACGACGGTTTGATTTTTCTCGTTCTTCTCCATTAATATATATCATCGCGTTTTTTTTAAAGAAGATTGTAATTCGATGTAAATTATAGAAGATCGAGAGATATTTGGGATTGGCAGATATATCCTTGTCAATAATTGCGGATACTGCAACACGTGTAAACATCGTTCAACGATAGCGCTTTACTTCGCGAATTAGGTGGCGATAGTAGATTCGTGCTAACTGGACTCTCCAAGTCCTCTCATTTCGCTGCGCATATAGCCCGGTGTTCCGTGCAAACACGCCGCTTCCGCTCACGGTCTGTTAATTTATGTAATTACGATAGCAGTCCGGATAATTTACTGTACGCGGCAGGAAATTCGAGTCAAACGCTCGCGGAAAGTATGAAATTAGTCGTAATACTTTGGAAGCGTCGAAATTTCAGACATAATAGAGCCGTCGTTGTCGTTTAAACACTGTTAACTTCACCGTTAACGCGCGTCTATGTTTCATTCGAATCGCAGAGTGCGAGTAACTTCATCTCTTTCGCCTCGGACGTCAACACGCCGCCGTGAAAATGTGCGCGCCGCGATATATGGAATATTAATAAAGATATTTACCGTTTTGTCGACTCTGATGTATAATTGCCATTTTTAACATACACACGCATTATATATACCGCGTTGAGATGATTTTGTTCTTATTATACGCAGAGGTTATGAGTTTCCGTGTGCATTTTATAGCATGCAATGCTATATACCGTTAGAAACGTCACGAGATGTATATAGCGTTGTTAATATCCGTCGAAATTATGTCGGCCTCAATAGCTATGACAATGTGACGGAATCGCGATTGAAAATGCCCAAGGTACGTCGACTCGGAAGCTTGAGTGTCTCGGGCGTAAACAGCGGCCGCGTTAACGGAGCAAGAGGCAAAAGGAGCACCCCTTCGCTGCGCTTTCGCGAACGCAACACGGCGCAAAGTGTACAATAATCCCTTGATGCTAGGTAGCGAATAAGGGAGGGTCGCGAAGGAGGGTGCTGGTACTCACTGTACTTTTCTTAGACTGAGAAAATGAACGGACGAAGATAGGTAGGAAGAAGCTCCAAGATTTTTCAAAGAAACAAAGCTACGTGCGCGCGCGAGACGTTCTCCCTGAACCTGCAAAGAGGCCGGCGAGCTCTCTCAGTCTGTGTGTTTGGACGACGCTCAACTTTGTGCCATTGTGCCGCGCTACAATTGCTTTTCGCGACTATTTACGAGTACGTTAAGTACCGCGCCTCTGAACGAACGAACGCCACTAGGACGACGGAAGGACGTCGTCGACGTCGTCGTCTTTGGCGCGCCGGCTGATTTGGGGGATGATGAGTGCGCCGTTGGGGTGACATCGTTCGGCAAATTCGCTTGGAAAATGTTACACGCGACCTATGATTATGACCATTTACTGTTGATACTCTCATCATAATGTTGCTGCGAGATTGTTACGGTCTTTTTAATCACGTCAATTGAATTATAATTTCAAAATTTTTAGAGATGCGATTGTACATTTCTGTGGCAGACGAGGTATCTTTCGCAAAAACATAAAGGACGATATCTCGCTATGTAATCTAGCAACTTGTTCAGCATGTTTGCCAGATCATTTTGCACTAGGCATGATCCTATAGACCATGAGATCCATTCCCATCCGTTGTCGGGTTCAATGATACCGTTCAAGTTGGCGACCTTCCACCTCGCAAACGTAATCCTATTCGTCATGGTGTCAGCATTTATCGCGGCAACGAATTGGATTATGCACGCGAATGGAAGACCGCTAATTTGAGCGATGTTTGCAGCTTCCAAGCGAGAGAAAAAAATAATACAATAACAAAAAGAAAAAAAAGGAAAAAGAGAAGAAAGAAAATAGAGGATGAAGCGACTGTTGTTACTCGCTCGAGACATTCCGTATAATACACACACTGTTTGAATAAAGAGCAAAAGGTAGAAAAGTGTGAAAATTAAAAGTAAAGAGACAGAGAGAGAGAGAGAGAGAGAAAGAGAGAGAGAGAGGGGTGAGCGAGCGAGTGAGCGAGAGGGTGAAACGGAGGAAGAGCCTCGTTTTTTCGAAAATGGCTCAATTCCGATCGCGCAGTTCGATCGGTGCATTTCGAAAAAAATATCCACCGCCGTTATCGGGAACCTTGTCGTCGGGAATCAGAAGTTTTCAACCTTCCGCAGGCCACCACCGCGCCACCACCTCCACTACCACCGCCGCCGCCACCGTTGCCACTACTACCACCATCACCACCACTACCACCCCGCCAGCAGCCGCCACCGAACCCACCACCAGTTTCCTACGGTTGAATTGGCGGTGTTGAAAGTCGCAACAGGCTTGCGAGAAGAGTCGACCTTAAGCAGTACGGCCTTAAGGGCGTGTATCCGCGCTCGCTTGGTGTCGGGTGGTGAGTTATAAATCGATTTGTGTCCCGGCCAATGAGGGTTGGAAGTGGCGCGTTCGGATTGGCCAGTAGCCGGACCACTCCCACAGTGTTAATAAAGGCTGTGAACGAAAGCCGGTTTTACAACGCCACAATCACTGCTTCGCAAGATGCAGTATGCCTCGACCGGACGTTAGATATTCGAATCTCTAATCTCTCTCCTATGAATAGACGGATAATTTTTCCCAGCGCAAGATTTCAGCTTTGGATGTGTTGCTATTACAATTGCAACATGATATCGCAAATACTGACTATAAACTGAACATGTGGAATATAGCTTTGTGATTTGCAACAAGTGCATTCTATGTAAGACTAAGAAATTATTTTTTGTTGTCTACAGTATTGATTTGTTAATGTGATTCTTTTAGAGATACTACTTGTTGTCTTTTTACTAATTATTTCGTAGATTACGAGATGGTTGAATTGTGATTAATAATTGAGAAAAATTGATGTGTCGATCGTTGCTACTATCATAAAAGGATAAAAGAATATAATATTACCACAATGCGAAGGTAACGGTATCAGTTTCGCGTCAAAAGATTAGTTAATATTATGAAAAGTGCCAGCCCATGATGAAACACATCGCAATCATTTGATATTCGCAATTGTAATATTACTGATACGTTATTCAACAATAGAAACGAGAGAGGAAACGCCCATAATTACCCGGAAATACCGATAGCTTATGATATAATGGCAGTGCAATGAATTCAATATGATCCACATCATTTTCAGCTCACGTTATCAATTAATTAAATAAACAATTTCGTTGCATCATGAATTCATAATCTAATAAATCTAACTATTATCAATGCCGGGCTGTAATAACAAATTAATAAATTATTCACCTAACTGACTGCATGTCACACCAAATATTCCACTTCTGTCAAGTAATTATTTCTCTCGCTCCCTTGGTGTTCGTTTTGTGGAAATTTGCCCGCTTCACAAATTAACTGCTCCATTAGGATTCTTGGAGGTTTGTGTTAAGACGGTTCTCGTGACCCAAATCGTTTGGGAGGAGGTTAGGGAGATCTGTAAGACACATAAAAAAAATTATAAAACAAAATAATACAACGACGAAGGGTCGAAAAGAAATATATCAGGAGTTGCGCGGGCGACTCGTACACTTCACGTCTCATGATCCAGGTTCGCGCTTCAATCACAGCTGACCTGGCTGCGGCGCGTCGCTCGGACACGGCGAGCGTCTGCGAGCCAGCATCCAGAGCTGTGCCAAGACCTAGAGTACCTCTTTTCCCCATGGTGAACCGTTCTGCCGTAGGCGTAGCCACGTCGAGGCGTTGACGTTGCTAGACCCCACCTTCCCGTTGGTAACTAGGGCTATGTCTACCCGGCTGGCTGTCTCAAAAAGCCGACCAATCCACGATGCGAGACGGCCACTGCCAGCGCGTAAAGTAGCGGAGGCGCCTTTGTCGCACTGGGTCTGTGAGGGGTCGCAGGACGGCAGGGCTAAAGGGTAGAGAGGGGAGAAAGCGGGGAGCGAGTTTGTGGGTGCAAAGGAGGAGGATGAGGAGGGAAGAGGGGTATGTGGCGCGGCGGCAGGGGGGTATTGCGGAGGGGGCTAAGCGACGGCGGCAGGGCAGAGGCAGGTTGTGCGCGCGGACGGGGCAAAAGCTACCCTCCGCGCGCGCGTTACGGTACACGTATGTGTGTGTGGGTGCGTGTAACGTCGTACAGCCGCCCCCGGGGGTTTCCCTTCTTCATTACCCGTCGCGTACAGCCGAGCAACCCCGCGCTGCGCTCGACAGCTCAGTTGTCCAACGCCGCGACGACGACACGGTTGCGCCACGACGGGCGGACACACACAGGAGCCTCACTTGCTCTCTCACCGGGACCATCCCTCGAGGCGACCTACCCTACTTGCCAGCCTATCCGCCTACGTATCTTACGCCGTCGGCCTCCACCGTCCACGTTTCTTCGAGCACGAAGTCGCGGTCGGGTGTTAATCGCGACGGGAGTTTATCGCGCGCGTCGGCGATCCGTCGCCGGTCGTACGTTCAAGACACTCTAAGAAATCGCAAGAGCGAACACCGGACCAGCTACAGCTAGTAGATACACGCGACAATCGAGTTAAACTCGGCTCACCGACGGAGGATGACAATCACGCAGGTAGAGACAACAGTGTCCAGGATGCGGCCGACGCGTGTGATGGAGTAGTAACGTACGCGAGACGCATGCCAGTTGGCACGTCCAAGAGGTCTGACAAACCTCGCCGGATTCGTTCACCAACCGGTTGCTCGCTTGGCACCTTTTCCTGAGACACGACCACCGAGTCTCCGCTACAACGGTCAATATCACCTACAATTGGACACGGCTGGAGGAAGAACGAGTTGCCGCCGGTAGTCCTCGAAACTCAATCCCTTTTCGAGTGGAGAAATGAAAGGAGACGATTTCGCGGAGCGACTAGCTCGGACTCGCACGCGCTTCCCTAAATGAAGCCTAACCACGCGCGACTTCCCCTGCACGTGTCGTCCAGTGTTCGCTTCTGGAACGGAGTTCCGGCTCACTACGTCGGAGACGTCCTGGAAGATCGGCGTATGCGCGCGCGGAGCAGTGTCGTGACGAGCAATAGACAGAGCAATTGGTACCTGAGCACAACGAAACATTTATGGTAACGGAAGTGGAGGAGGAAGACGCAAGAGTAAGTAAGGATCACACACCGAGTGTCCTGACAAAAGCGAGAAACGCGTATAAGACCCTTGCGGCAGAAGCGCGTCGCGTTCACCTTGCCGACGGTCAGCGAACGTCGACTGTCACGTTTTTCGAGGAGGTAGTTTCTAGCAATACGTCACGCTATTGCAACGAGAAAAGAGGAAAATTTAGACGCGAATTGTATTAACTATCGACACGCTCGCAGGTATCGGTTCATTGAAGAATTCTAACTTTCATGAGGATTCACAAGGAGAACGCTTAGAGCCAGAGATACACGTTTCCACGTCTCTTCCTCGCGTCGGTCACACACGTCCAACGGCCTTAGAACGAACATTTTGTAATCCGGTGAAACGCCAGCACGATAATCATCGTCGAACGGCGAGCGTAATGTCAGGGCCTATCAGATCCGAGAATTCTGCTCGGTCAGTTTCTCCGATTTCGCGTGGGATTCCGTCGAGAACAGTGCCGACGGCCTCGTAAGCCCACAGTCGGAAATTTCTCCAGTATCCTCTGCGGTCTTCGCGCTCACGGAACACTAATCGGTAATCCCCGAGACGTACAACGACACACACGATCGAGTTCCTAAGCGTCGGGAGAGAGAAGTCTTCCGAGCACGAAACAGAACAACGATCAAATCCAAGAGACTTGCTCTTTGCGCAAGTAGACGTAAGCTCGCGCCGTCGAATGCGCGACTCGACGTCAGGTGGTAGCCCCGACACGGCTGAGAATCCACTTTCAACCACCTTGATCTACTCAGGACGCATCTGTCGCTAAGCTGTCGCGGTGTGAGGATCCAAGATCGGCTGAGGATCGCTTCGTACCTGTTCGCGCTCGAGGATGTCGCACGTTTGAGCCCGCCAGCCCAAGGACACACACGGTGGAAGATGCCGCAGCAACAGCAGCGATCGGCCTTCGCGATTCAGGAGCTGCTGGGCCTCGATGGCACCGGTAACAGAAGCGGTACCGATCGCGGCTCCCCGCAGGGCTCGCCGCCCGCCGGGGTGTCGGCCGTCTCGTACGCGCCGGCGGCGCCCCATCACTCCAAATTATGGGAGTACATGCCCAGCCTGAATCATCTCGGCAATCTCGGCAATCTGGGGAATCTGGGGAATCTGGGCAATCTTACGGCCTCGCGGATGGCCTACCTGAACGCGCAGGCGGCCGTGGCGGCCGCCTTTCTACCGCCGCCCCATCCCCACCCGGCGCACCACGTACCGCATCATCAGGTACATCAACCGGGCCAACTTCCGGCATCGCCACCCGGCGTCAACCTGCATCCCGCGGCACATGCGCAGCACGTACTTCCGGGCACGGCAGTCACCACGAATCATCATCAGCACAGCCCGACTCAACACACGCCGCCTCATGGTGAGTGGACGTTGTCGATGCCTTACTCGAGGGCCACTACTTTCGGCCCACATGGTCTGCTTGTTTCGAATCTTTTCTCTTTTAATCGAGTATAATAAGATAAAATATTGCAATTTTCACACACTGTCAACTTTTGACAGGTATATAACGTAAAAGTACCAATGCCTGAACACTAATAACATTGGTACTTAACTCTGAACATTCTTATTGTTTCGGTCTTTTTAAATACGAATATTTAAACTTTCAATA